TATAATATATTATATTTATATAATATAATAATAATAATAAAAATAATAATATTAATATTAATAATATAATACTAAATAATAATTAATATTACTAAAATAATATTTAATATAATTCACGATAAATTAATATCATTATATGATAGATCTTTTTCTCTCTCTTATTTATTATTATTTTTGTAAAAATGTCAAAAACGATGAATGCTCTTTACAAGTTTGAAATTATAAACATGTTGACTTTAAAAAGCATCGTTTTCGTTCCCTCGAATCGAGAACGATGTCTCTATCTCTCGTCGTTCTTTTTTATTAGCCCCTCAAAGGGCCAAAGAGCGCAGACAAGTAGCCGAGAAATAGGTCGAAATATAAGAAAGTGGATGAGGAAAGGAACAAGAGAGGGATACGTTAATAGTTCTCGAAGAGGCTTCGTCGGAATGGCGTAAGTGTTGTATATTTACACTGGCGTTACAGGCTCACACCTGGATGCAAGAATAGCGTCGGTTCTTCTTCCAAGTATTTTCTTGCTCGTGAGTCAACTCGTGTTTGACAAAAGAAATAAGTTCCTTGGTATAAATCTTTTTATTTTATTCGTAAATCATTTCATATTAAAAATACTTCAATTCTTAATTGTATGTAATTATATTTCACGAAGAAACAAATAAGAAAAACGAGTATGGGATTGTGAGTGACATCAATGCCATCAAATTTACCAAGATGGAAGTTTCTCGATCAGCCTCATCTTTCTATCAAATTTTTCAAAGATTAATTTAATTTTAATGAACATTTTTTTAATAATTGATCTGATTATCGAAAAGATACAAACATTCTATTTTTTTTTTTGATACATTTGTTTTTACGTTCGTGATATATTTATGGTACTTAAAAGATATCGGAAGTCTCTTCTTCCTGTTAGACAAAAAGAATGATACCTGATATTTAATCGGTCAAGGGGCTTAAACACTATACTCGGGATGGCTTACACTCGTCGTAAACGAAGTTGCAGATCCTTCTCGTAGCGTTCGATGCTTACCGGGTATAAAAGCCGAAATGAGCGTGGGTATGCATGCAGATGGTGGGTTGTAAGGGGGTCGTCTAAAATAATAAAGACCAAACGGTAGAAAGATGAGAGGTGTTTGTGTTTTTACGAACGACGGCCTATCCCAAAATGATGAGGAACGAATGTTGAGAAAAGAATTTTCTCTTTGAGTGACAATTCCTTTTAAACGGAAGTAAACGCGACGCGCGTTTCTTGCAATGTCCCTGTAGACATTTATTTTTGAACATATTCATTGACATAATAACGAGAGAATTTTTTTTCTGTGTAGTAAATAATTAATTTTTTTTTTCTATTGTTTTTAATGTAAAAAAATTAACTTTATGTGAGAAAATGATTTATAGATTTAATTAGATTTAATTTTTTCTATAGTTAGTAATTGAAATAAAAATTAATTGAATAAAAATATAGAGGATGTTCCAAAAGCCGCTTTACCAAGAAAAGAGAAAACGAAATAATAAATCGCAACATTGGTTTATTAATAGAATTACAATATTTGGTTTTTTTATTTTTATATATATGTATAAGTTGTTGCTAAAAAACAATCAATTCTTCAATTTTCTGTAATTATTTAGTGAATACAACATATAAGTAATGTTAACATTAAAAATAGAAAATAATTGATTATTCAGAAATGGTATTATTGCTATATATTATAAAATTCATGACAATTTTCGAACAGCCAATCATTGTGAGTCCACCTCTCGATTCGTAATTTGCGCACCACTGTCCTCAGAACACGTATTAATGGCGTGAGTCGGCAAGTTTCGAATTTGCGTAAGTTATATGTGAATTTTTTCATATTTCACAAATGTATAGAGTATGGTTTGATAGCCAATCAGCACGTGAGAAATATTAAATGTTAATTTACAATTTTGTTATTGGATTCTCAAATATAAGTAATTCTAATTGTTCATTTGTCGAAAGATATTAGAGTCTCGAACTTGATTGGTTGATTAGTTACGCGTGATAAGAACAAAGGAATTAATAACCAATAGAAAATCAAACATTCGATAGAAAATTGGCGCTTTCTTTCTGAATAATCGGATTGGTTAATTCGCGTAATTCTCTGAAAAGAAATCGTTGAAAATATTATATTAGTAAGAGTTGAAATTGGGAAATATTTAGTAAGTTTCTTAGGTATTTCTTTGACTCGGAACGCCATCTTTCACAAATCCCTATCGTTCTTTTCGGAACGGTCGAACGTTTGCGTTCGTGTTGAAAAACGTGACCGTGCTACAACCAAGAGTACCGTGTGGCGGTCGACAAGAGGGAGTGTTATGCATGATATTGCATACTAACGTATAATAAAGGTATTGTGTGACGGAATGCAGTTGTCGAAATAAATCATTTATACTTTTCCACGGATAGAAGATTAAAACGGTTCGTACGGGTCTGTTCTACCGGCATACATTCATCAATTTACGCGATTACAAAGATTGGTTATTGGAAAAATGGCGGCTGAAATGCTAAACAAGAACCGAATGATGGTTTTTAAGAACAAAGGCAAGGATCAAGAAGTGAGTATTTTTTCGTCTTTAAGATATGCGATAATCATCTATTTTAACAGCTAATATTCTAGAAACATCGTCGCCATACTTTCTTCTTTTAGCAATGACAGAGCATTTACAATTTACGTTTGATGTGTCCTCGTCTCGTGCGTGTCTCTCCTACCGATTCCTACGTACCACATTTTCTTTCCTTCCATATCATTTGTACGAATGAGTCAAACCATCGCGGTTTCGATGGTAAACATATTGTTTTTCAATAAAGATTGGTGATATAATATTATTATCATTACTATTCTTCCTCGACAAACTTCAAAACAAATACTATTATTAGGAGGATTTTTTTTTATATACACGCTATTTCGTTCTTAATAAAAATTTTTCTTTCGCATTATTCATTATAAAATATTGAATCGAGTAATTGTCATAATATTATTTACGTCAAAATATTACGCAATTTATTTGAAATCGTAGAGAGTTTTTTTTTTTTTCTATTATAATTATTTACTATTGTTTATATTACGTCTTAAAAATTGTTTTACCATTACATTGCTGTCACTGATAATATTTGATTATAATTATTTTTTAATTATGATTTTTGTTTTTCATTTTTGTATTCCCATTAAACGTTTTCCCTGTTTTCTTTTCACATGGGAACAATTAACTTATAAATAGCAGTATTAGTCATAAAATAAGATATGTATAAATCATGTTTATGATTTTTATGGTTAAATATATTCTCTCTATATCCTCATATGAAAGATTAAATCTTTAATGCGCGAAGGCATTATTCTTTTTTCTTTATATATGTTATTTTATATGTTGTGTTAACAGGAAATGCGAAGAAGACGAAATGAAGTGACAGTGGAGTTGCGTAAAAACAAGCGCGAAGAGACTTTACAAAAAAGAAGAAATGTACCTATTACAGACTCTACCGGTAATTTAATAAATGCTGGAATAAATATTGAAAGTTCTATCAGAACTTTCGCTTTATATAATTTTCTTAATGTTTGTTACAATAAAAAACATTAACGACTTTCTATGATATTAGATGAAGATGATAATGAAAAGAATTTGTCACAAATCAATTTAAAGGAATTAGTAATGAAAGCGAAAAGCCTTGACCCTGCTGAGCAATTACAAGCTGTTCAATCAGCAAGAAAGTTACTTTCTTCGGATCGCAATCCTCCAATTGATCCATTAATTCAGAGTGGTATCTTACCAATTTTAGTTCGTTGTCTTGAACAGCACAATAGGTATAGTAATGTGATATTTCTTAAATAGTATGCGATTATGTTAATATTTAAATGATTTTATTTGTTTTATATATAGTTCATCTCTACAATTCGAAGCAGCATGGGCTCTTACGAATATCGCTAGTGGAACATCCGCTCAAACGCAAGCTGTAGTCGCAGCTGGTGCTGTTCCACTTTTTCTACATTTGTTACTTTCGAGTCAGCAAAATGTTTGTGAACAAGCTGTCTGGGCTTTAGGTGAGTATTCATTTGAAGAATATTCATTTTAATGTTTTCAAACGATAAACAATGAGACGTTGTTTTTAGGAAATATTATTGGAGATGGTCCAGTACCTAGAGACTATGTTATCAATCTTGGTGTTGTACAGCCTCTGTTAAGGTTTATTAAACCTGATATTCCACTACCTTTTTTACGTAATGTCACATGGGTGATTGTCAACTTGTGTAGAAATAAAGAGCCTCCTCCACCTGTTCAAACGATAAAGGACATATTACCTGCACTTAATATACTCATCCATCACACAGATATTAATGTTCGTAATATCTCTTTGAGTAATGAAAATTAAGTTTACAAAATTTAGTAATAATAAGATATTATTTTATTTACATTATTATCATTATTTAATTCGAACGTGTTTATTATTCTTACTTCAGGTTCTTATCGACACAGTTTGGGCATTAAGTTATCTTACTGATAGCGGTAATGAACAAATTCAGATGGTGATAGATAGCGGTATTGTACCACGTCTTATTCCTCTCTTGTCGCACAAAGAAGTTAAACTATTGACAGCAGCTTTACGCGCGGTTGGCAATATCGTAACTGGCTCGGATGAACAAACACAAGTTGTTTTAAATTGTGACGCTCTTTCACATTTTCCAAATTTATTAACTCATCCAAAAGAGAAGATTTGTAAAGAAGCTATTTGGTTCCTTTCTAACATTACTGCGGGTAATCAAACACAAGTTCAAGCGGTAATAGATGCTGGATTATTACCACTTATTATTCGTAATTTGGCGAAGGTATAAACATCTCTTTTTGTTTTTTTCTTTTGATTTTTAAAGTGACCCGCTTGAGAGATGAATTTTAATTGAAATTACAATTTCAATTTCAGGGAGAATTCCAAACACAAAAAGAAGCAGCATGGGCAATCAGTAATTTAACAATAAGTGGTAATAGTGAACAAGTAGGACGGCTTATACAAGAAGGAGTCATAGGACCTTTCTGCGATCTTCTCTCATGTAAAGATACCCAGGTTATACAGGTTGTACTTGATGGTATACAAAACATGCTCAAAGTTGCTGGTGCACATGTTGAATATTTGGCTAACATGATAGAGGAATGTTCAGGTTAGTATCGTTCTTACGATAACATAATATTTTATCCAATCGTATAAACTAATGAAAATATATATTTATATTTTGTAGGCTTGGATAAAATTGAACAACTTCAAAATCATGAAAACGTAGACATTTATAAACTAGCTTATGATATTATCGAGCAATATTTTTCAGGAGAGGTAAGGAACAATATTGTTTTTATAGACAATGATTGGATAAGACTTATTAGTTTAATGTAACTTAACTAATGAATTTTTTTCTTCGCGATTACATAGGCTGATGAAACTAATTGTCCAGCGCAGGCTGGAGATGGAACATTTGAATTTGATCAGACAATGAATATTCCGAGTGAAGGTTTTAAATTCTGAGAGAGTCTCCTTTCTTTTTCATCCGATCGTGCCGTCCCCCGACAAAATCCGAGGTGGAGCAAATCTGCTTTCCCTTTCCTCCTAATCCTACATTTTCTTCTGCTCCACTGACAACACGTGGTATTATTTATCTCGTGCTACTATTTGAACCAAGAGTCGTACTTCTTGCTGATTCAGAGACAAAGCAATCTGCTGATTTTTCTGACTACAGAGAGACTAAAAATGGAAGAATTACGGAGCTGACGAACTGTTATGAAGCAAGCATCGACTGTGTCCTTATGTTCTATCCTTCCAATTCTTCTGATATGTATGTTACCTTTCTTTATTACGCATAATAAAAGTATTGGCGGAGCGAGTCTTAGCCGGACGCAGCTAGCAATACGATATGTGCGAGTAAATTATTCTAGTAAATTGATTAGTTGCTCTCTCAAACGGAGGCGCAGAGAGGAGACCTTTTTATTGCTTGAACATGTTGCTCTTTACTCAAACTCAGGATGAGTCTTGCTTAGCGATGTTACATTTATAAAACGATTCGTGTATATTTTAGGCATGTTAAATTTATAATGATATTGATTACTAAATAAATGAATCGATTGACTACTCTTTACTAGCATAATTAATGATTGTCGACATTTCTATAAGGAGCTAGCAGCCAATAAAAGTAATAGCGTGAATCCGGCATAACTCTAACCTTCAGTCTGGCGTTTTGCCTCAAGTTTAATGTCGAATTAATAAACTGTACTATTTTATACAACATATCTCAATGAATGCTAATAAGTAGCATCGAAGGAAAATTAATCATAAACAACAAGAATTTATTTTGACTTTATATATATATATATATATATATCATTTTTTGTGTTACTTTATTATAATACAATTAAGATTCTTCGCTAAATCGAATTGTGGGTGCTTTGAATGGATGTACATCATCTGCATATAAATCCTCTGGCAATGGTTCTTTACTTAAATCGGGTAAATAAGTTGGGAAATATGGGGGAGTTTCTGATCGTCTACGAGGTAGCACCGTGTCGTATAAATAACAAAAGGTATTTGTTTCTCCAGGTATGTTATGGCCCATAACCCAAATAACATTATATTTTGTATTTATTCGTAAAATCTGAAAAAGCAAGAATTATATGAGACACCTAATCGACAATTAATATTGTTTTCTTTAAAGAAATTGATATCACTAAAAAGTAATGAATAATGTATATACATATATAGTTGTAAATTGTATTTGTTTAATATCTTACCCTGTAACCTCTAATTACGCGCCACCGATTACCCATGTGACCAGGTAGTTTAGTACCTGGCATTACACGAGCCATTGCTCCACCACTGCCAATGTTTCCTGGCCTTCTGTGAGTTTTAGTTACGCCATGAGACGCAGGCATTCCTTTGAAACCCCATCTTTTCATGACTCCTTGAAAACCACGGTCTACCCTAATTATTATTAATAACAATAATAATAATGATAATAACAATAATAATAATAATAATAATAATAATAATAATAATAATAATAATATTAAGAAATATCGTTCTTTAGAATAACGCATGCTTTATCATTAATATACAAATATATATTTCAAATGAATAAGTAGTTTTTACGTTTTTGCACGAATGTCAATAACTTCGCCTGGTTTAAAATGAGTCGCGAACAAAGGTGTACCGGGTTGTAATGCAGCTTCTGGCGATATCATAAATCTCATCAAAATACGTTTCGGCATTACTCCGGAATCTTTGAATAAGCCGCAATATTCTTTTCTAAACTATAAATAACAAATATTTTTAATGTTATCAATTGTACCATTGACACGAACTGGAGAGAAAGAGAGAGAGAGAGAGAAAAAGAGAGATAAAAATTCGTTTTAAATTAATACCAATTGTGGGTCTGAACTTTCTGCTCCTACCACGAGAGATCCAAGTCTGTTTATGATAACATGTTGTTTCGTTTTAACTGGGAAAAAATTTTCTGGCGATATATATTTTATTACTTGATTATCAACGATCTGGAAATTAATTTATTATTATTTTCCTAATTTTTTGTATTATGGCACGTCAATGAATCATTTATAATTACCTGCAGTAACGTAGAATTAATTTTTTTTCCATTGCTTAACCACATTGGATAAATACCGATTTTTTTGGCTATCAAACCCGTTCTTCTAAGTCCTTTTCTCCATTCTGTGATTGGTTCAATTGGTTTTAGATTAAGCGGAGAATTATATTTTGATTGTATGACTTCTTTAATAAATGTTTTATTTTCTGCGGTAATATGTTCATCGTGCATCTGTTATAAAAAGAAATAGGAAATATATAAAAAAATTGTAATTAATATAATGCGGACACATGTACAATTATATAAGTTTTTAGGCTATGTGTAAGATTAAACAAGTAATTAGTATTAAATAAAATTTAACTCACAACACGGTTTTGTTTCGGAAGCCAACCTGGATGACGTTTTCTGGGTATATTCATGTGCCTTTCTCGTACAGATACTTTTATAATATCCACGCTGCGAATATTATGATAGAATATTTTATATTTAAAAGAAAACAATTATGAACATAACCTATGTTCCGTTAGATATTTAAATTAAAAGTAACACGATGAATAATATCACTTACCTGTATTTTGAAAGTACGCGCGAAATTAAATTATTGTTAAACGATTTCCAAAACGTCGTCATGATAAATCGTGTTCAATTATTTTATTGTACAAACTGTATTTAAAAGAAAATACTTTTCTTTAGATTATGCATCCATAATACCCGGTTAACCTTAAAAAATAATTCAACTTTGATTTTCTCACGCACGAGTATTCCTATGTATTTATATTTGTTTGTCCTTATAATTAATTATATTCGTGATTATAACAATCGATAACAATCAAATCGAGCGTTGAATAATTTTCACTTTTTAATATAAGAATATGTGTTTTTTATAGACCTAATATATGCTTTAACAAAAATTATTACAGTGGTGTTATCTGATGGAGTTCAGGTGAATGTTGAAGATCTCTGCATTATCTTGCATCTCTCATAAGGTAAACAAGATTACTTCTTATCCAATAGTGGTAATTGAATTTCCAAATCGTATCAACAGATGTCGTTAGTAGTGCATTTATTAGAACTAAACTGAAGAAGCGCGGGCCGACATTCTCAAATATGTCTACCAAGGAAGTACATCGTTTGAAAAAGTGTTTCCCTTCTAAGGCTAAACTTTGGGCAATTTATACGTCTGGAATATATTCGATCAAAATAGGATGAAGGAAATCCATCTTATAGTTTATCGAAGGAATCCATCGGTACGATGCAAGTAAAAAGGTAATTAATTAAATTTAATAATCTCTTAGTTTACAATCAAATAATCGCGTCCATTTTGAATGACAAAAACGTTCCCGCTCATTAAAAATATAAACAAAAAAAAACATTAAAACTAAAAGGAAATCACTAACTCAGAATAATATTTTAATTTTATACAATTGTGAAAATACACGAATTAGATTATACCTGATCTTACTAGAATTGTTTTGTTCTTTAACTTTTTTTTTTTCAAAAAATATTCTTGATCTGAAAAGCATTGAAAGATAAGAACAAGAGAGATAGAGATAGATGAATAAGAAAGAAAGAAAGAAAGAGACGAGAAGACGTAGACGGACAGGTGAACGAGAGACGATCGAGGAGTCAGCCCTAGAGAAGGGCTGTGTCGTGATGGAGGACTAGGTGGAGGAGGAGGAGGAGGGATGAGGATGGATACGGGGGAAAGGAAGGTGTAGAAGGGAGAAAGAGAGAGAGAAAGAGCGATAGGATACGGGCGTCGGATGGCGTAGGATCTCTTGACGCGTGCATCGATGTCCACTGGCTCCCGAGGGAAATCCACTTCATGATGGGAATCCCATTATTTCCCGAGCGATATAAAAGTAGGTAGTCCAGTCGTCCACGTGCTGTCCAGTCGAACCTATTTCTACCTCTCTCTCTCTCTCTCTCTCTCACTTTCTCTCTTCTATCTCTTTCCATTATTTTTTTTTCTCTTTTTATTATTTCCTATTCTCTCTCTCTCTCTCTCTCTCTCTCTTTCTCTTTTTCATTCTTTCTTTATTTTCTTTCTTTCTCTTTTTAGTTGCTATCGTTTCATTTCTCTCCCTTTCTTTCTCTCTCTCTCTTTCTCTCTCTCTCTCTCTCTCTCTATTTCTGTTTCTCCTTTTCTATCATTGGTGTTCGCTGGCCATTGTCTTCTCTCGTTCGATTCCAACGTTGCCTATCCGTCCGTTTGCAATCCATTCGATTCGAAGCCCGTGTATCCCGGAAGCGACGTTACTCTGACGGACTGTTTTTAGTTTAGATTAATACCGTTATATCGTCCGAGTGATTGGAAGCGAGATGCACCGTTGATAAACGGATCTCTATAGCGTTACCGGACACTGGCGCCATTCATTTGTATATACTCGCTTAACATTCTCCCACCCACTTTCTCT